TCTAAATTATTAATATTAATTTTTAGTTGTTCGTGCTTTTCCCAATTTATATGTAGTTGTTTCCAGTTTTGTTTTAAGAATTGTGTATTATATGCTATTTCGTCGTTACAATTTATATATATATATATCAAAAGAAACAACTGAAGATATAATAAAACAACTTCATATTATTTATAATATAAATTTATATTAATTTAATGTCTAATATATGATCATCATTGATTATTTTTTTTTTAAATTATCAACTCAATCTTTAGGTGGCGTTTGGTTCGCAGATTCTAGAGGAATCTGAAGGAATTGGAATGTTGAATTCCTTTGATCAGATTCATTTTCTTCGTTTGGTTCATGCTTTTCAGTGGAAGGAATCTCAGATTCCTATGAATTCCATGGATAAAAGATTTTAACATTCCTTAGCAACTACATGGTATTTTGATGGAATGGAATATCTATCTTCATTATACCAGATATGCCCTTAACCTAATATACTATAATCTCATAAAACTCAATATGACCATCGTCGACCACCTCTCAACCACTATTGATTTGAACCACCACCGACTACCATCGATCTGAACCACCACCGACTACCACCGGTATGAACCACCGTCGACCCCCACCACCGACTACCACCGGTATGAACCACCGTCGACCACCACCACCACCGTCGACTACCACCAATCTGAACCACCGCCGACCACCATTGATCTGAACCACCGCCGACCACCATCACCGACCTGAACCACCATGGACCACCACCACCGACTACCATCGATCTAAACCACTGCCAATCTGAGCCACCACTGATCTGATTCACCGTCAATCTGAACCATCGTCGATCTGAACCACATCTGACCATCGTCACCTGAACCACATCTATATCACTGCCAACCATCAACGATTACCATTGATCTGAATTACCGTCGGACACCACCGATTTGAACAACCACCGCCGCCACCGCCTATTTGAACCACCGCTGACCACCTCCATCTGAACAACTACGGATCACCATCGATCTGAATCCATGCGGACCACTACTATCTGAACCACTGTAGACCACCGCCGACCACCGTCGATTTAGTAACGTCATTTGGCTTATGATTGTATTTAGGTTGTGTATTTTATATTATTTTACATATTAAATAATTATTTTATTAAAATATTTTTAGTTTTAAAAAAGTTAAAATTTTCAACAAAATGCATTTTGGTCATTTACCAAAATTTTATTCCAATTCTAAAACTACATTCTGTGAATCAAACAGAAAGATTTCAATTCCTTAACAGATTCTATTACAATATCGCCAACCAAACAAGTGGTCAAACCTAAAAACATTCCATTTCAATTTTTTTTAAATCAAATTCTTTTAACAAATTTCATTTCATTAAAAACATTCTACAAACCTAGGCGAAGTAAAAGTAAAACACAATACTAAAAGTAAAACACAATACTAAAAGTAAAACAAACGAAGCACCGAAACACCTGTGGGAGGAAGCAAGGACATCAAGTCTAAACCCTAGCGCCAACCTTACTTCCTGTATTTGCCTAGACCAGCTCCACTCTTCTCCGCCGCAAATCTCCTCCTTCCAATGGCGTCTATGATGGTAATTATCATCTAATTTTCATTCCCATTTCCAATCGTACTAAGGTTTATGTTATTATTACTGTTATGACTAATGTGATGCATAAACTGTTTTGAATTTCGAACCAAAACAGCAACCTCAGATCATATTGCTTAAAGAAGGTACAGACACTTCACAAGGGAAGCCGCAGTTGATAAGCAACATCAATGCGTGTATGGCGGTGGCTGACGTCGTCCGTACAACCCTAGGTCCGAGAGGTATGGACAAGTTGATCCATGATGATAAGGGTAACACCACTATTTCAAACGATGGGGCCACCATCATGAAGCTTCTTGACGTTGTTCACCCCGCCGCTAAGATCCTTGTTGATATTGCCAAGTCACAGGATTCAGAGGTAATTACTATAGTACAGTTAAAAGTACTCGTCATTTAGCTATATCGTGTTTACCCATGTTTTACTTTTAGGTTTTGTATTTGAATGTTCAGCCTGGCTCTAGCAAAAGGCAAAATGATCACCATTTCGAATCAACTTATATGGTAGACTAGATGAACTTCGGTAGTGGAATAGGCGCCAAGGTTGTGTGCAAGGATATTCGATTTCAAATGGAGGGTTTGAAAAATATTTGGATTAAAATGAAGAGGTTGTAGTGCTTTTGGTAGTTCTTGTTCTTTTATGCAAACTTAAGCGTCCAAATGCATATGTTAGGTTACCAGTAAGCAGTGTTGTATATGTTGGTTATGCAGATATTTTGATAATACACCATCTTAAACTACTATGAGAAGATATCAAATGAGTTAAGTTCCAATGTGATTTATGCTTTTCGAGTAAATAAGTGCTAGGTACATATGAAATTCACGATATAAGCTGCCAGTGGGATGATGTCGGTGTTAAGTTAGGAACCAGACATCATCTCAAATTGTTCATATGGTTAGAGGTATTAAATAGTAATCAATGGGAATGATAACAAAAAGAACTGTTTGGTTTTATATAATATAATGGATTCATTCCCCTAGAAGCCCAGATTTTCATTCCAGGTTAAACTGGGGGGAATGAAAAGTCATTCCCATTTTCATTTTCATTCCCTTTTTCATTTCCCAACCTGAACCAAACAGCCCCTAAATTCTAACTTATTAACTATTGTATTTGGATGGGTGAGATTGATTATTTTTCTGGAATGCCTATCTTTATTAGTGTTAGTGATTGGCATTATAGTCATGCAGCGACTTATCATTATTTTGTTGGTGTTGTACAAATGTCATTATACCATTGTAATATGAGTTTCAATTTCAGTCATTTCATCTTTGTGTTGCTAAGCAACTAATGTTTTTTCTTCTGTAAATTGTTTATAAGAAGTAATTATATCATGTGTTAAATCATTTCATCTTTGTGTTGCTAAGCAACTAATGTTTTTTCTTCTGTAAATTGTTTATAAGAAGTAATTATATCATGTGTTAAGTGTTGATATGACCTTATTTGTGCTTCATCAAAATCAAAAATTTTTTTTCCCTGGGAATATCCGTTTGATAAACATAATATAACTTTTACTTATGTGGGTGTAGGTTGGTGATGGAACCACTACAGTAGTTCTCCTTGCTGGTGAGTTCTTGAAGGAGGCCAAACCATTCATTGAAGATGGCGTTCATCCCCAAAATCTGATACGAAGTTATCGAATCGCATCCTTTATGGTAGATTTCCTGAATTCTTATCCATGTAGTATCTTACACATGAATATATATGATTTAGGTGTTGGCTTCAACATCATCTAACTGTAAAAATTTAAAATTTATGATACAGGCAATTGAGAAGATTAAAGAATTAGCTGTAAGCATAGAGGGTAAAAGTTCAGACGAAAAAAGAAGCTTATTAGCTAAATGTGCTGCTACAACACTCTCTTCAAAGCTAATAGGAGGAGAGAAGGAGTTTTTTGCTTCAATGGTTGTGGATGCTGTTTTTGCAATTGGAAATGATGATAGGTTGAACATGATAGGAATAAAAAAGGTACGCATGCTTAACACTGAACTTTAAAATGTCTAAAATTTAGCCTGCTTACTAATTAAACTGGTTGTTACAGTGATACTACCAAATACCACTAGTCAATTATGATAGTACAACAGAATGTTGCTTTTCTTATTATATAATGGAATGGTAGGTCGTAGGCATGAGTCAACTATGGGGGATGACCAAAAACTGAACTTGTACTTAAAAGTTGATGCCAATGTAAATGTGCAATTTGTAGTCCCCATTCTACTTAATGCAATTACACATGGTGTATGTGAGATAGAAGCTATGCTGTTAATTGCGGTGCTATAGCGGTCAAATAGTGGTGGTGCTATAGCGGTCCTAGGGGAAATAGCGGTTCTGCTAATAGCGGCTCTAATCACCGCAATTGGGCCGCGATTTTGATTTGCAATAGTGGTGTGAAAACTGCAATTATGGGTTGGGCATTCAGTTGGCTTTTTAAAGGGTTAGAGAAGTCAATTAAGGGATTACAAGCTAGTGGGCTGATTTTGATTTCAATATCCGTGTGTGAACTTGATATTCCTTTCTTATCTCTTCTATTGCTATTTGTGGACTGCTATGCCACTGCTTTACCCTCGTGATAACCGCTATATCAAGTATCGGTCCTGACCGCTTTTTCAGATTTTGACCGCTGTAACAACATAGGATAGAAGAGAAGAGAGAGAGAGAGAGAGAGAGGCTGTTGTCTGGTGTGTTGGTTTGTCAACATGAAGCTTAGATATTTCATGGAGGCTTGACTTTTATTTTTTGAGTGTGTATTTTTAGTGGAAAAAGAACTTACATTTAATAGGAGTACAGTAATTACATTTCACAAAGGCTAAGCTCCTCCTGTTATTGACTCTTAGGAATGTGTATGCTTTAGCAGAAAAGAACATACGTCTAGTAGGTGTAGAATAGTTACATTTAACAAAGGCTAAACGCCTTATATTACTGAGCATTAGGAGTGGTTGACCTACTTGTTTTTGTCGAGTGTGACGGAGTCTCTTACTGGAAAAATGCAGAGTTGTTAAATTTAAAAAAGATAAATTACTTGTGTTCGTGAATCCTATTGTGGGGCTCACCTATCTAGTTCACGATGAGTTTATATTGCATACTAAGTGGGTTTGTTGAGAAAATTTGGAAAATTAATTACCAGGTTTGATTAAAAAGAAGCATAGATTAGTGGATTTTAGGTAAAGGCATCTTTACCATATTCTGTGTGCCTTTGCTGAGAAAATTCATGTTTCAAATTCATGCAGAGATTGCTTGTTAGCATTTTGGTCACCAAAATATTAGGACTACAAACTCAAAACTCGTAGTTACTAAATTTTCACAAATCAGAAGATTGCTTATTAGTTGTGGATTCCATGCACATATGACGTAACTAATGGTATAGTCTCTTCATATGCCCTGACTTATTCTTGTGTCACCGGGAAATTGAAATTGTGGATTGGAACTTGCTCTTTTGTTGAAGACAAGATGAACTTTTTGCATGCACATTCACTTCCAGGGACACTTTCACATAAAGACCTTAATCATGCACAATATATCAATACTCTTGTCTTTTACTAGGGATGTTGGTCTCAGATTCTCTGTTGATGAGAAACCTAAGTATTGTGTTTAGCATCTCTATAGAGAATTCAAGAGGTTTTCATAATAAATCATGGCTTTTGTATCTTTTATGAAGGTGGACTCTAGTTTACACCCACAGCGTTTTTAGAAAGTGAAGTTTGCAACATGCTAAGTGGACGTCTTGTCACAAATTTATCCTTACTTTGTGTAACTTTCTTACACAATGAAATGTAACCTTCAAAATTTTGTACACTACTAAGACCAAATATATAGGAATCTTGACCTCAGGGTGGTAATCCTCCCGTGCCCTTACATTGTATTTAGGAGATTTAGATGCTAACGCAGGCTCATATTTTGTGTTCATGATTTGTAAAAGAAGAGTTGAGGATGATGTAAAAGGCAACTTTCAAATTAACAGTAGTAATTCATGCTATATGTTGAATTGTAAGAAAAATGTTTTGCTAGACCACGTTCTGTAAAATAAAGTAGGACAGGGTGTTATTGAGACTTTCGAATTTGAGACAAGGGACAATTTGTTGTTGTATGGACTCTTTTTCATATTACCAAACTGAAAATTTTCGACTCAGAACTAGTCCGCGCTCAAATTGTCAAGTGAAGAACATTCTTTCGAGCGAACACTAAAAGTTATTTATACAACCATAAACCTAGGAAGTTGGGAGTTGGAATATTTTTTTTTGATTAACCTGGATATCCAACCTGCTATGCGAGCCGACTAATCCCAGGGCGACCACCTGCTTTGCGGGTAGCCGGAGTCACCGCATTTGACCCTCCGTGGCCACAAGGGGATATTTATTCCTCCTTGGATTTGAACTTGGGACCTCCAGGTACTTTTGACCTTTGGAGCTCAAGCTCAAACCAATCAGGCACCACCCTTGTGGTTGGGAGTTGGAATATTGACATGTAATCATGGGGATTCCAGCATAGCAGCCTTGTATCCTTAAGGGAAAAAACTTATCAAGCAAGGGATGAGTCAAACAATGGAAGAGTATATCTTTCTGTCATGTAGTGTATAAGGGGGCTGTTACCTCCTGCATGCAACATAATGCAATCATGGTTTACCGAAAATATATCAAATTTAAAATTGAGTTGGATCACTCTCTAGGTGGGAGGTACAACGATCTACCATGTAGTTTTTTTGAGACATGCTCATTTGTTTTGCCTGCAATGGCCTCTCCTGTTTATGTATCTCTCTAATCCATAATTCGAGTTTCTTTTTAGGTGCCTGGCGGTACAATGCGGGACTCCTTTCTTGTAAACGGTGTTGCTTTTAAAAAGACTTTTTCATATGCTGGGTTTGAACAGCAACCCAAGAAGTTTTTGAATCCCAAGATACTCCTGTTGAACATTGAACTGGAACTAAAATCAGAAAAAGAAAATGCTGAGATAAGGTAGATGATATTCTTGACTTGTTTAATTATAATATTCCATGGACTTTATCAAAGCTTTGACATTCTATTATTCTCTATTAACAGACTTTCAGATCCATTGCAATATCAGTCCATAGTTGATGCAGAATGGAATATCATATATGATAAGTTAGACAAATGTGTGCAGAGTGGTGCCAAAATTGTTTTGTCGCGCCTTGCTATTGGTGATCTGGCAACACAGGTGGGTGACTTTTTCTATTCGAGCGTTGGACTTTTTTTAGCAAATGGAACTTAATGCTTATGCTATGCTCTTCTGAAATGCTTTTATTTGCAATCAACCAGCCTGTCGTAATCCTTTTTCATATGACCTGCTCAATGATATCATGTAGATCTTTGAATTAATTTCCATTACCAGACATCTTAGACTGTATGACATGGTTGGTTATATGCTATTCGTGTTATTACTAGGCACTAGCTTGATTCTGCTGGTTAAAGATCAGTTCAAGAGCTTTCATGTCACAGCTCTAAACCTTTGAATTTTTTGATATGAATATCTGCGACACATTTTGACCTTCTCAGTAGCAACTTGAAGGTATGGTGAAAGACCTGACATGATTGGTTTTTTTTGTCTTCAGTATTTTGCAGATCGGGATATTTTTTGTGCTGGGAGGGTTGCCGAAGATGATCTGCATCGTGTTGCAGCTGCAACTGGTGGTACTGTGCAGACATCAGTCAACAATGTTATAGATGAGGTCATGCTCTTCCACTTTGTACAGCTTTCTAATTAGAAGTTGAATTTACTGGTTTGCTTGTCATCTGCATCGCTATATCATACTTCAATTGGTTGTACTTACTTTCTGTTCTACGAATCTAAAATGTCACTTTTGATATGAAATAGATTCTTGGGTCTTGTGAGGTTTTTGAGGAAAAGCAAGTTGGAGGTGAACGGTTCAACATATTTAGTGGATGCCCTTCAGGCCAGACAGCCACTATTGTTCTCCGAGGTGGAGCTGATCAGGTTCTTCTAACATACCATTTTAAACTTTTTAAATCTTTCTTCCGATGACAACCCTGATAGTTTTCTTTGGAAGGCAAATATACTTTTGTTATACTAAGATACTTCAAAAGCTTTGGATAATCCTCGATAAAATAATACCTTGATGAAGAATATACAATCAAAGACTGACTGTTATTCCTTGCTAAAATGCAAATTAATGTGATCTTATCTACAAAGTATCTATCAATATATTAGGACAAATTACTTTTCTCTCAAGTTGGCATACCATTCAAAGTAAATTCATTTTGTTCACGTACTCAATCTTTGAGTATTTGTAGGATATTGATTCTGATATAGTTTCTTGATTCTATAATAGTTTATTGAGGAAGCAGAGCGGAGTTTACATGATGCAATCATGATAGTGAGGAGGGCCATGAAGAATTCCACAGTGGTTGCTGGTGGCGGTGCAATAGATGTATGTTTGTCAATACTTTTCGGAATGTAATCTCCCGATTCGGTTGGTGGTGTCATGATTTTAGTTTTTCTTTTTATTGCAGATGGAATTAAGCCGGTACCTGTGGCAACATGCACGAAATATAGCTGGAAAGTCTCAGCTATTTATAAATTCCTATGCTAAAGCACTTGAGGTAGGTTTTTATAGGATTTCTTAGGTTGCATAGACTATTATTTATTTTCTTGGGTCTCTGATGTAGAGTATATCAACTTATAACACTAGAATTATATGGCCCTGTGATACTAATCTGTTGATTGTACTTCAAACCAACTGAAATTGGATGTTGGTATAGACATCTACATTGTTACCATACAGAAAAGCTTTCCTAAGTTGCCTTTTTTTCCCTCTTTCTATTTTATAATTGGAAGTTCGTCTGACCATTTACGTCTACAATGAATTAGGCGTTCTAATTGAAACTTCACTTGGATGCATATTCCATTTATTTTACCATTATGATATTTTCTATTAGGCTGCCTGTAGATGTATGTTATTATGGTTTCTTATTAACTGTGAGAGCTTGCTTATTATGTAATAAACAGGTTATTCCACGGCAACTTTGTGATAATGCTGGATTTGATGCAACTGATGTACTTAATAAACTGAGGCAGAAACATGCACTTGCCGCTGGTTGGTCTTTTGCAATATATTTTAAAAATAAAAATAAAAAGTCTTTTTCGAGTTCTTTTAGCTGAACATTACCTGCATCCGGTATCAGCAACATGATTTCATTTCAGTAGTTTGACTTATGTGAACAATGAAACAGGTGAGGGTGCCCTTTATGGAGTGGATATTAACACCGGTGGAATTTCTGATTCCTTCGCCAACTTTGTGTGGGAGCCAGCAGTTGTGAAGGTAGTGTAATCAATCAGCTGCTTTTCTTGTCATAGTTGTTACTTGTTGAACCAGTTGTTTTGTTTTTGTTGATGTTCTTTGCTTACTTATCACAGATCAATGCTATAAATGCTGCAACTGAGGCAGCATGCCTTATTCTAAGTGTTGACGAGACAGTGAAGAACCCGAAGGTGATGTCTTTTCCTCTGTATATAGTAAAATACAATATAGTGGCAAATAGACATTCGTGCTGCTGCTTTCTTATTGGCTAATCTTGGATTCTAAACCAGAATCGAATTTGATAGTATTTGGATGTTAAAAGATGCAATTCAGGGTTTTGGAGAATTTATATGAGGATTGTACCTTTCTTTCTAGGCGTTACTTTATTAGTTTAAGTTCAAATAAATATCGATTAATGTGTCTACAAACATACATACTGGAAAAACTTCAATTGGCATTTTATGGATATGCTTGTTTGTATACAGTTACCCGGATAAAGTGATTGTTAACGAGTCATTGTTTGCATTGCAGTCGGAGAGTGCACAAGGAGAAGCTGCAGGTGGTATGGGTAGAGGACGTGGTGGTGGCATGCGTGGTGGACGTGGAAGAGGGATGCGAAGACGTTGAATATTACAGCATTTATTAGGATACAAACTTTGGAAATTTTGTAATTTTGGTTTAAGTGATGATTGTTTGCTGGGTTTTTTTTGTGGGACGTGTGTTTTGCAGGCCGGGGTTGGATAGTGATCATTTTAAAAGTCGATTATCGTTTTGAGTTATCCTCTTGTTTTTGGAGAGATGTATGCTGATTCTGGTTGATTCATGGATTATATGGGAATTTGTCTTCTCCAACTCATGACTGTTATATGTAAAATATTTAGTTTTTTGTTCTTTAAAACAAACTCTTTTAATAGGGTTCCATTTTTATGCAATTTTGCCTACTAAAAGGCAATTTTACAACAATGATATCATTAAATACCGTTTTAGATCACAATTAGACCATCTTTATCTTCAGCTACATCTTCGACATCGTTGAAGTTTCTTTGATATGAGATTGTCTTCGAGGTACTTATGAATTTTATATGCGGTTACATATGTGTTCAACAATCACTAAACAGACTCAGATGTTGATCGTTGAAATTGAAAACAAAAACAAAACTAAAGTATACACTAAGTAAATGATTATCATCAAATCACTGAGAGAGTTTGGACTACTAATCTCCCCCCTATTTGATGATGACAAAGCAATATAAAAAATTGCTAAGTGTAAACAGAAAGGAAGTGGAATTCATAAAATACTTTGTCCCATTTACTGTTTTGGGGGACCTTTTCATCACTTAGATGGAGTGAAGTAGTTCAGATGAAATTTCATTAAATTGTAGAAGAATTACAAATATTGAAAGTATATTGGCTGAAAAATCTAATAACTGATAATACAAAAAGAAGAAAATGCATCTATCAGCTAAGGTCTTTGAAGGTGATGCAGTCAGGGATATTTGATCCAACTTGATTTCTTCACTTCAACAATTCCCTTAAGATCTTTCTGTCAACGGATTATCTACGGAGGTCTTTGACATCACAAAAAGTCAGGAGAACCACCAGATGATCAATGGGTGCAAGGTGAAGTTCTGAGCATCGTTGAAATCTTGTAACTCCATTTATGTCAGTGAAGTATATGCCATAGTCAGGTTTTAAAATAGCCTTACCTGAGATGTGAGAACCATTATTTGGAAGAGAGAAGTTGAGCATGGTGAGATTAGGGATTTGTTAGACCCCATAATTCTGATATGTAGAAGTATGCAAAAACTCTAAGTGTTGGAGTCCAAAACCTACTTCATGAAGAACCACAGGCCCTTAACCAGAAGATCACTTAGCAGACCAAAGCCCCCGACCTCCTTCTGGATATACTTCTGGACTCAACCTTCTTCAACAATGATCAAATTTGAAGCCCACATGACACAATTGTTCCTGTTCAAAGTTTGTTAGAGCACCTTTACACGTGGAACTTTTCCATTGGTGTACGCTTTAACTTTCCTACTTTAGGCTATAAATAGGTGTTCATGCTTAGTTCATTGTAAGCTTTTGTTGGTCCCAACCGGGTCTACAAGAGTTTTAGATGAACAGTTTGTAGAAGGAGGGGGGATGAATACAAACACCAAAAACTTTCGAATTTAAAAATATATATTGATAGAGAAAGATCATAACAGATTTTTGCAGATTGTTTGCAGAAAATAGACAAGGTAAAGATAACTTATCTAAAACAATCTAAGTTTACACACAGATATACTTAGCAAAATAGAAAAGATTTGTTGAAAGATAAAGACAGAAAGATGTTCTTCTTGGGTAAGAACTTTTAGAATACATGAGAGGGATTCCAACTTGCTTGAGAATAAGCGTAAGTGTTCTTTTAGATGTGTGCATATATGCGTGTGTTCTCTGCATGGAGAGATCACATATCTATTTATACCCATTGCATTAAATGCAATTCAAACGGGTTTGAACACGCGTCAAGCTTTAGGAGGAAAGCTTGTCCTTTGCTACAGTGAATAGTACAATTGCTTATTCATGAGCAGACATCCTTTCATGGAGTTGGTGGGCACTAGAGTCGACTAGTCAGCTACGTACAATAATATACTCTAGAAAGGGTATGGGTTTGTCCTTTGTGTATGGAAGGACAAGACAAAAACAATCTTGCACAATAAGCTTCATTTGATCGCTGAATGATGGAATAACACTGAAGGTCTCTTCAACATTCACTGAGGCTTGGGCAGTTTTCACACATATGTTGACCAGGTTGTAATCACTGAAAACCGCTTCAGATCATGAACGCGTCAGTCACTAATCTTCAATTTCAGTCTTCGACTTTCACTAAAGGTTCTTTGGTGTGAGTTTTCTCTTCTTGAAGTATCGCTGTCACTGTAGTATTTACAATACATGTTTCAACGATCATTGAACAGACTTAGTGATGATCGCTGGAACTGAAAGAACAGAAACATAATACTTCGAAAGGTAAAAGGGATTATCATCAAATCAATGAGAGAGGGGATCAACAATCTCCCCCTATTTGATGATGACAAAGCAACATAAAGAAAGTTGCCTTAAAAAATAATAGTAAGGAAAAGTTACATATAAAGTACATGTCCCTTTTAACTATTTTGGGATCTTTTTCAGTGAATCAGTTTTTACTTAATAAGTTTTCTTAAGTTACAAGTTTAAGAAAAAGTACAAGAAGAGAAACTGAAACTGAAAACATGTTCACTGACTAGAAATTGCCAGTGACTTTAAGAGAATACTGGAACTCATAAACATGTGTCCCTATTATTCTTTTCAGGGATCTTTTTCAGTGATGCTGATGAAATACTTATATTCATTCAAAGGAAAAATTACAAATGTTTCAGTTAGTACATTTCTAGACTTACAAAATATAAGTTGTACACTGAAAGTAAAGACATAGATACAAAAGACATACAATGAAAGACAAAGTTACAAGACAGAATTTCATAACTAATCTAGGTCGCTGAAGTTGATGTAGCCAAGTACTTCTTCTCCAAGCTCCTTTCGACGTAGAAATTTTCTTCTGATCTTGCAGTCTATCATTTCACCATATACATCATCGTCCAACCAATATCTAATATACGTGAGATGTTCCATTAGACAAAGATTTAGCGCAGACACTCTCTAGAAGCTGTGTTCGCCTTCATAGTCAAGGAAAATAAATCCTAACCTAGTCTTGAGGTGCACAATATTGGGTATGTAAGGACCCTTCGTTGGCAAGGAGAGGTTCAACATTGTAAATTTTTTGACATCTTCTTGATCAGCTCGCTGATGATGTCTTCAATAATCAGCATGTGCCTTGACTTTGAGCGTTGAATGGCTTGGCGGATCTACAACCATTCATTGTAGCCATACTGACCTAGGTAGGAAGGATACTATGTGACAACATCAAGGTTGTCTCTGGTGATGACCTTTGAGACTAGAACTCCACCGTCTTTCATCCGTCCACTAATTGTGACGTTTGAAATGGGATGAGGAATGATTCTCTTGTTCAGACGATCTTCGCTCCATTTTTTGTCTCGGTCGACCAGCTTCATCGCCTTTTCATGCTTAGCTTCTGCAATGGAAAGTAACTTAGCATGGGCCTTGACAACATTCACCATCTTTTTAGACTTTTTCTTTGGAAGAACTTGAGCAGCAAGAGACTTGGCCAGCTTTATGCTGTCCTCAGTCTGATGTCGTTGAAGTCTGAGTTCTTCCTCAGCCTTGAGTGCCTCGAGTCTTTCAGCTTCAGACATGAAGTCAAACTAACCACAACTAGAGGCACGAAGAGGGATTTTTACTCTAGTTTACTCGAGTGACTCCTTCAGCTGAGACATCTATTGGTTGGTGGGAACACTGGAGGTTGGGTTTTCAGATACCCATTCCTCTAGCCGACCGCAGGTAGTAGAAGGGATAGAAGAGAGTTGACAAAAAGAAGCAAGGATGGCAAACCTGGAGGATTTAGTACTTAAGGGCTCAATAGGTTTGAAGAGTACCTTGAGGTTTCCTTCTTCAGCAACACCTTTGTCTTCCGAGTTGGTGTTCTGGTTCTTCTCGAAGGTCTCCTTCTCTTTCTCCCCCTGAGATGCAGAATCCCTAAGAGAGACTCCTTTCGTGGCACTGGCAGATTTCTGGTACTGAATGGTGAAGTCGTCATCATCATCGTCGTCTTCATCATCAATAGGAAGGTTGGGAGAATCATCGTCTTCATTGTCATCGTCTTTATCATCAGCATCAACTACATAGGTGATAGGAAGGTCTTCGTCACGAGCTTCAGCATTAGCTCTGACGGTTTCATCAACAACCTTAGCTTCAGGAGCTTCATGGGAAGTTGGGTTTTCATCAATGACCTCAATTTCATTAGCTGTGGCTCTAGGAGCTTCAGCTTCAATTTGAGTCGTTGGGATAGCAGCAACAACGTTTAACTCTGTCTCCCCCTCTTTGACATCAACATGATATTCAAAGAAGTTGTCAAGAGTTTTGGTCTGGATTTCCACCATCTCTTCAAGCTTTGTCAGCGCTCAGGCTTGAAGAAGACTGCATTCAAAAGTCTGATCTAGCTTGAGGCGATCCATCTCTGTGAAGACGGTGTAGGTGTTGGTACTGGTTGTTGGAGTATTTCCAGTATCTGCTGCATCATCTCAGTATGCCTCACAAGATGGGCATTCGCTTCATCGGCCTTGCTGGTTAAAGCAGAGATGGCCTCAACGTTGGTGCGCATGACTGCTTGCATCGAGGAGAGCTGTTCTTTGACCTCTTTAACTTCAGCTTTGACAACTGAAAGGTCAGCAGAGACTTCATCCCTGAGAGGCATGCCCTTATAGACTTCGTCCATTTTGATAAGGACAATTTCCACAACGGGGAGAATTAGCTTTACATCGTCAGCCATGTTGTATTCTTCTTCCATGGCTGGCATCTCTTTGCAAGGACCTGAAAAGGAAAAAGTTTGAGCATAAGATATCTCAGGTTTGGAAGAAATGAAAGGGTAGGATGGAGGAGTACCTGAGGGTTCATCAGCACCATCTGAAGGATTGATGCTGGTTCGCTCCAGGTTGCCTTCAAGAGGATAAGCGACCATATGCTGAGATGCGTCGAGAGGAGCAATATCAAGTCCCGTGGTGGGTGCTTCATCATCAGTGAGGACAATCGCTGATAAATCATAAGCACGTGTCGAGACCAAGGAAGGAGGAGAGGATAAAATGGCCGAGACTGATGGACGTGGGTGTTCAGCAGTGGCGATGCTTGATATTCACACATTCAGTGATTTGGGTCACTGAGGCGGTTGGGATCGGAGCCACATGTATGACAGTGATTGTAGAAATCACTGAAGAGATTGGAAGAGATGAAGCTAAAGGTGCCTCG